GATATTAAGGCAATCTACACATCATTCACATATATACCTAAACGGACTGGTTAATTGAAGTCCTAAGCATCAATGAGAAGATTCAACACAACCAATACATCTCGATATTCATTGAGCTTTTCTTAAATTTAACACTACTGATGCTTGATAACTATCACCAGTGGAGTGATGAGTCAGTAGGTAAGGTGTTTAACATTCAACAATTAACTGACAGACCCTACTTCACTCATTTTGATTTGGACAACCGGGTAATATTATTAAACCTTCCATTTAGAATGTAATTAATATTTACTTGATAAATGATAAGTACATTAGATTTGTGAAGATTATTGACTGCTATGTAGATCAGTAATTAACTTGAGTTAGGCAAATATTGTAAAGCGGAAAGCACTGGACAGTTGTTTTATCAGTAGTGTATATTTATAACACCGCCACTGTCTCATACATGAATGCTTAACCTTGAGACTATGGATCCGGTATTTAGTGGTGTACATGTGTAGTGAAGGAGAACACAGGTGAGGGCAACCGAATTGTGTTTATCGCAAATTACAGAGTTAATTAGTAAAATAGAAAAACCATATCGTAAATTATTAATTTGCAAAATATCAATCCATCATATCGAACTGGACTGTTCTTGTTGCAATCATCAATCCATTGTCTGACACCTCAATGTTCATGAGTTTCATACAAATCCCATTTTTGTGTTCCCACTCTTCCTTTCTTGATCTCTCCCCATCTTCTGCTGCCAGACATTAAGTTTTTATTCGCGTCCTATACTACTTATAAGTAGCTAGCACTACACATGTATAAATTCAGTCAATTCACCATATTTCACAACCATCCTTCATTGGATGTGATAAGAAATTTCGAATCATTTTTCTTCTCTCTTTTTTACTTGCACCTTTGTTCTGTGTACAGTGAAAAGTATTTCAGATCATTGTAGTCTGAAAGAAATAATCAAACATCATGAATAAATAATACACATTTATTTGTATTTTGATCAGCTGAATTGTCCTATTGATGTGTATGAATGCAAATGCTCAATCTCTTTGGTATATATACAGCTCGATATTACCTTTAGATTACAAGCATTATTAGCCGAGGTGGATTGTGGCTAGGACTGGAATCCAGGAAGCGTGTTTTTTTCTAACAGGGACTAGTCAACTGTGAATGTACCTAATATCTCAACCTTAAAATTCACACCGCTACTCAGTTTTTTTGTCTGTTGTTCTCACCACCACCACCACCATACACCTTTTTTAGCAGTCACATGATGATGACGGTCATGATGATGATGATGAATCAAGTAGGTCACTTGACATGGAGAGAGAGAGAGAGAGAGAGAATAGAAAAGTTTCGCGTCCTTCCCATCAAAATAAGGCAGAAATTCAAAATATGCTGAAGTCAGGTGGAGCGATGGGGGGGGGGTTGAGGCGGCTAAAATCGGAAATCCGAATTTCTGTACAAAAATACTATAAAACAACTTCTGATGAAATTGTTTACAATGGATTTACAAATGGGGGTTAGGGTAAGTAAGTAAAAAATACATATGCACAGTATTTTTCAGTGGAAGGACAATATTCGAAGTCAAACAATAGAGAGATGGGGAGATGGAGAGATGGAGAGATGTACAATCAGACAAAATCAATCACTTCACTTGGGTATTTATAGTCATACATAAAGTACCGAATGTGTGAAATGATTCCGGTACGGTAAAATCATTTCTATTTTAATTGAATTGTGTTTGAAGTGGTAACCTGTGACTTTATTTATTTAAAATTTATAATAATAATAATAATAATAATAATAATAAATAACCTTCACACAAAAATTTATTCTATGAATATATTTTTATACAACAACTTTCACTGTGTTCTATCCCTAATCTTTGAAATGATCAGCACAGAAGTTATCATTAAGTGTTTATCTACAAAAAATTATTCTAATTGAAAATACTATCGAAAATGTGTACCGTAACAATCTTCACAACCCCGTTATGCAAATTACATATACTTACTAGTGACTAACTTCGTGAGGAATTTTCGCCGAGTTCTAGTGGGAAATCGTGACTTGTGAAGTTCAACCTGTTCGAGTGTAGACAGTAACTACCGAACACAGTATATGAAGTTGCGCAACTCCGTGAATTGATCAAGTTATACTTTAACACTGTTAGGTACGGGCTCATTGGTCCATAGGTTAGGCGTTCGCGCACAAGACCGAAGGTTGTGGGATCGAATTCTGTGAGGTGCTGGAGTCATGGATACGCACTGCCACTAGTGCGTCCTATGCTAGTAGTTGACGGCCATCCAATTCTTCCAGGTTTCTAATGGTAGTCTAACATTGATCGATTCATGGTTTCAAAAATGTGTAGACATATATATATGCAATATATGAGCTCGGTGTAATCTCTTTGTGTTTGCGTTTGTGTGTAATGTAAACATGACGATTAGTTTTTTTTCCTTGAAATACATATAAAAATAATACACAACAAATATAAGGAATGATTTAAAGATGAAAGTTGGAGTCTTTTCAAAATTACTTGTTGAACAAGTCGGGAATCATTGAAATCATGAATCGATCAATGTAAGACCACCATTAGAAACCTAGAAACATTTGGCGGCCGTTCAGTCTTAGTGTATGACTCATTAACAGTGTGTATCTACGACCCTATCGAATGGTGGTCTGACATTGACCGCGATTAATGATTTCAATGAAACGCAACAAAACTCTTCAACCCTATCATGAAAATTATAATGTTTTCACTAGTGACTAGCTTCATGAGGAAATTTTCGGAGTTCTAGTCAGAAGCCTTGGACCATTGGTGAAACATTGACCACAGAAGATAGTGGATCAGCTTGTGCAAGACCGTGGATTGATTAAAATTAGACACTAACACCGGTGGATGTCAGCCGAATGGCCCAGGAGTTAACCGTTCTCACATGAGACCTAAGTGTCTGGGTTCGATTCCCGCGTAAGGAGGTCGTGGGTACGCACTGCTTGGATGAAATGATTGTCAAGTGCTTTCAGATTTGTAGGATGAAATAAATGTATAAATTGTATACACTTCGTTTCTGACCAAGGGTGCTGAGGATGATTTTAATTATTAACAATAGGCTTCGTCGAAAAAAATGTACACTATTTTCCACTTTATTAGTTTTGATGATAATTAATTTTATCAGTGTAAAGTTTTTTTGTGAAGGTTCTAAAATTTTCACTTCACAGATGTTCTTAGTTAGGTCATCATTGAAAAACTTAGTAGCACTGGATGAGTGCATAAGACAGAGTTATCCATGCAGAACAGTGATTGCTGAGTGGTGATGTTAGAGATCAGCAGTATCAGATGTTCTAAAGGTGACATGTACGTATCCAACATCAAATGTCCTGGATTTATCCTCTGTGGTAGGTTCGTGTGCCTGCACTACAGAGAGGTCTTATATCACTTTGAAAAGGTCAGTCAATGCTGCCAGGTAATCAGTAATCAGTTCAGGATAATCAATCTGTTACAAATCATCCCTCAATGTTTTCTGCCTTTTTAGTCCATGCTGATCTACTTTCAGAATTTGTTTCAAGTAAAGAAAAAGCTGTGGAAATAGCGGTTAAATCAGCTAGTAAGGTAAATCATAAGATTAGGGAGAAGCCGTAGATCTCTGTGGCATCCACCGAACTGACTGATGCTTGGAAACACATCGCGCCTGGCTCTAAACATGACGAAGAGCGAAGTCAGTTTAAGCGTAGGCTGGGAGTGGGGTCCACAAGACGATAGTAGTTGATGGTTAGAGACCTTGAACGACATAGCTCAAAATCGTTCGCAATGGCGCAGATGTATCCACTCTTCATGTTCTATGAAATTCTGGTTTTCTCAATTCGTCATCAGCTCTACCTATCTACTTCTAATTTTATCTCACTGAATTATACTTCTTGAATAATATCTTGGAACCCTAATCTTCCTCATCACCTCTATGGGATTTGAACTGACAATTGCATCTCTGTGCTAATGTTGTATGGCAACATGAACTGATGTGCTTACGTACGAAGTTCTACGTTGTAACTGACTGACTGACTGAAACTCAGTAATCTTTCATACGAATAACTCTACAGTGTTTGAAATCAGAAGGCTGTGATGAAACTTAAATAATTTTCGTGGATTCAAAGCCAGAAAGGTTAGTTTATATCGTTAGAATGTAATTATCTGGAAAACTATAAAAACTGAGATGGATGGTAGCTGTCAGTGGAATCCAGGACATGTATTTCAACCTGTTGTGGACGCGTTACCTGGATGTGCCTAGGGTCCCAGAGTTGATGGCAGTATTGGGAAAACCTACACAACAGACACATTTACCAAAAGTGACTAGTCCATCGTAATCATAAACTTCACAAAGAACATACATACTCAGAACATTTAACTGAATCTTTAAGAATTTGTAGCCCTTTTCTATTACCTAAGTTTTTCAGTGTTATTTTATACTTGGCATGTAAAACATCATTGATATTCATATAAATTAGTAATAGTCCTTTTTGGTTCATGCAAAGACCTCAAACAGAGCCGTGAATTTGTCTCATTCTATAAAAATACTACTTATTAATAGAAAGTAACATGATTGATGGATTGTAACAAATGATGATCCATTGCTGTAGTTAACAATTTATCTCATCTCTTGGGACTACAAATTCCGTATTATGATTCTGCAGTCACGTACTCGTCCAGTTTGTTGATTGATGCTATTACAGATGTGTGATGAGAGTTGCGGGAAGTGGTGACTTGTAAGTGACACGAATCAAGAGTAAAGTTTGTCGCAATTATGTTGTAGATGGACCGGTTTGATTCTCATCATTTTCAACTGTGTATGCTGATTCGGACGCGATCAAGTCTACCTGTACTGATGTTATAGGGTACACTGAACAGATGATTACATATGGTTGCCAACTGCGTGAATTTACGAATACAATTTTCTGTTTGTCAGAATCACTTACTTATTAAAACAACAATCCTGCTATAGGAAGTAAAATGCTGAATAGTTTATACGTAACTGTAATTCTTTCATGAATTGTATTTACAAACATTACTTCCATTGAAATTGGTGCTGGTGAGAGCTGTAGTTGAAAGTGTGATTCGATAATCAGCGACTGATGTGAGAGTTAAAGGGATGAATAGGTCTAGGCTAAACTTGAATGTCAGTATGTCTGTACACAACATTTCCATTTGTCACAGATCTTTGCAATGGAGGTTGTGAATCAGTATTCATTATGAAGGATGTGTGAATATCGACACGGAGAATTACAGTCACATGTAAGCCACCGAATTGTCCATTATACGAAACTCATAATAGAGTTCTATTCAATATCACTTATGTCGACTAAACTCGACATACTGGCAATCACGAAATAGTCTTCTCAAATAAACTTCATACCTACTTGTACACAGCATTCACATGTAGAAACCATAATGAGATTGCTATACAGAGCGAGAGATGTAAGATAAAACAAGAGAATGTGCAAGACACACTTGAAACAATTAACAAATTGAATCAGTCAACTTTTATTCATATGAACGAATGAATGGAATAAGAAATTTTGACAAAAACAAATTAAAATTCTCACTGAATCAATCAATCAATCACACAAACGGAAAATGTGCACAACCTTTAGAATATACTGAATATAGTTTGAATATTATTCTCATTGAATGTGATAAACGATCATAAGAGTTCATCAGACTAAATAGTAAGCCGGTAATTCATCCGGATATATATCGCTGTAGGGTACTCGGTTGGAGTATTTGCCACTAGAGTAGTGAAAATTGAATAAAATGAATCACAAATCAGATAAAAGCATTTATCTCCATATAAATAGAACTTATCAGAAATTTGTACAATTCTTCACTATATCACAAAGCAAAACGGATTTTATTACAGACTCTTTTTGCGCACCATTCAACATGCAAAAACGAACACATCGGTTTCTTGAGCATTTAAATGCAAAAACTGAAGTGCCTATCAGCTGCATGACATATATTCATCCATTTCCCACATCAACTCTTTGAAATTCTAGTAGAAACCGGGAACTCACAGATCAATCATTAGTTTCAACCATATTTTTAGGCAGTTCAACTGTTCACGAAAAGAAGTGACTTGTTGACTCGCTAGTGCACTTTACTCATCATAACACAAAGTTATTGAAGAGTCGAGTTTCATTGACTGCGAAAGTCAAAAACACTGGTAATTTACCGTCTTCGAAACATAAATCGTTGTTTACCGGAAAGCATTGATCTTGGGCATGTATAATATACATGTCTCACAACTCCAAGAAAAACAGCCATTCCAGGTACAAAATAAATTCGTCTGTCACAAATGAAGTGGAGAAGTATTCGATTCTCGATTCTGAGCTCTTTTCAGTCGAATTGTTACGGTTGCGATATACAAGTACTATCAGTACTGCTACATGTGTTCAGCTTTACCTTTTCTTGTATGAAAACGATCATCATTTAGAAATCATTCTACCAACATACAATGATGTTCATACAGAAAATGATCGTCATGTTAGGTAGCCGAACGATGGCGTTTTTCAACGCATCATGTTGTACTATCAATATGTAATGATACAATCACAGGTTTGTTAATCCATGAAAGTTACTGATTAATAAAGAATCTCTAATATTACTGCATTAGTGTGAAGAACATCATCTTGATGTGCACGACTTTGTGTCACTATTAAGTCTACTTCGAATATTAGTTCTTTCGAAATGAAAATAAATGCACAAATACTTCTCGAATCACCTACCCCGGTCCATAGTTGCAAACAACCAGAATGTTCTTCGATGCATTCAGGTTTTTACATCTTGCATAGCCACAGCCAATGTGTGTAGTGTCGGCAAAGACTAGCTGAAAACATTCAATATTGTGAAATACATTCAGTTTTAAGCAAGTGATGGAAATCAGTTACATTTCATGAAATAATTTTCAGACTTGAGATTCGAATGAAACTGTTCAATAATTCCATTTGATCAACTCTATACTATGCACGCCTTTTGCAATATTCACCATGCACAGAGATCAATCGAATTGGTTTCATGTACACTAAACAAACATGGAGTTGTCTAACTGATCATCAGGATTTACAGTTATACATACATAATTATTCTATCATACTGACTGACACAAACATTCACACGAGCATGCAATGAGTGAATTGTACTGTCTTAAGCAAGTCATCTATGATTTTGTTCAAAGCTAAACGAGTTTGATAAAATAAATCATGTGGATATTTGACTTTGCCGTTAGTGAATATCAATCACATTGCAAGAATAGAGAGACAAGTGGGTTCTATGGGAATAGCTGAACAATCTACCGAATGTACAAAACTAAGAATCCGTTTAACATATCTGAGTGTATTGGATTCAGCTACAAGAAATCCCACCCGTTTATCAAGAATATCTAAACTACGTTTACCATGGAATTGACAGCATCAATAATAACCATTCTAAAACTAGTGAGTGGAGCACTTAGGTAATTTTTGATCGACATACAAATTAACTAACTGAAACTCATGAACATATTCGGTGAAATACAAGACGAATCCGAATATTCGAAACACTACAGGCTCGTCGTGGTTCTATAAACATATCTTAATGAAACGGGATGTGTTATCATGTCACTGATGAATATCTTCCCAAGTCCAATTCAAAGTAATGCTATTCAGAAATGAAATTGTCTTATTGCAATACCTAAATCTAGAATATTAATTTTCACTATAACAATAATAATAATAATAATAATCATAAACGAAATGATATTCGCTCAAAACTCCTCACCTGTTTGTAATCTGCACATAATTTATTCTCCATGCAAGTATCTTTACCGAAATTGTAGTTCTTGTGTTCATCAAACCACAAAGACACTGCACTGTAAACGCAAACCAACAAGTGAACATACAGTGAGAGGAGTAAAGTAAACCATTCAATGTTGTATACAACTCAAATCATATGAGTTATTATCAAACGCATTTTCGCAGGTTATCACTAACATGTAATGAAAATATTCAACCTACTCTTTAACTTGTGAAACCACAGCTACATTCTGACCAACATATGTCCATTTCGAACTATTCCTCATGGATATGTTACTTCGTATTGGTACACAATGATTTGCCCACACTTGAGCCGATTCGGCCAATTGATAACTCCATTCCTAACATAACCAATTAGTAAAACATCGTGAATATTACACTAAGATGCACACTTGCTACATACGACGGAGAATTTCTAGTCGATTACTTACTAGTTTGGTCATGTGCAGTGCTTGTGGTTGATCTGGAACTTTGCCAAATTTTACTTCTCGTCTATATGCATTGTGTAGAGCTAGAAGCTCAGAATTCAATACATTCCATGTTGCGGCTAGATTTTCACAAACATTCACTAAGATTAAGAGAAATAGGCTGAGTTGTGTTCTAAGCATATTGAGTTGACAATCAGGATATAATCAATGTTCACAGTGTTGTCGAATTTATGCATTTGTGAATTTATTTCTTGACCAATCAGAATTCAAAATCACTTTTATCACTTACTGGTACAAAAGTATATTGATACAAGTAAACAAATCTGTTAATCTATTTCCTTTTACCACATTTGTTAGAACTGTCAGCGTAACAACGTAATAAAATTAAATAAGGAAAAGAGGAAGACGAAGGAACACATTACACCGAGAAATAGAGTAAGACATGAGAAGAATGAACAGAAACTGGAAAGAACTGTAAAGGAAAGTCCAGGACAGAGTAGTTTGGAGATAACTGATCGGCGGCCTATGCTCCATTGTGGTTAACAGACCTAAGTAAGTAAGCAACTAAGTAAGTTCGGCCTTTACCAATTGACGGTTGACCAAGTTAGTCTGAGTTTTTTAAACAGAGTACCGTATTTTAGTTAACAAACTACAACGACTGATAAACGGGAAGCATTCAGAAGATACTCTTTGTAAGAATCAACCGATGAGATGTGTAATAGAGGTTTCACCTGACTATATACAAAACCCACATTCCATTTATCCAATGACGTGTCATATATTCATTCACTTATCACTAATTTTATGCGTGGTATTTCGTATCAATAACCAATAACAAACGCAACGTTTTCAAAAACGTCTCCATTGGCACGCTGGAGAAATGTTGTACAAATTTAGATCCTATTACGCTGCGTGCACACGATAGATGAGAGAGAGACAGAGAATAACATTTCTCACCCTTACTGATCAGTCTGCTGGTCACACCACATGTCACATTCTTTGTTCAGACATGACAGTCAGTTATGTTCACAATAATCTAATAGGCAGTTTAGGCATTGAAAATACCAATGGAGGCTTTGATTGGTAAACATCTTGTCTAAAACATGTTCACAAAAGAAATTCTATATGATAAAATATTACTGGATGGAGTTTGCTGTCTGAAACTATTTCACTCGAAAGTATCTGAATAGTGAATTCATAAGAGTAAACAAACTTTCAACCACCCCACTCGATAGAGGCTGAATAGAGAACAGTTCACTCTAAACGACTACACTATCCATGCAGTTCAACTAGAACTGTTCTTAGTTAGTTCGAAAACTCAGATTTTCAAGCCTCAGTGTTTCATTGCAGAATAGTGTACCAGAATGACTTCCAGTTTTGATAACTTTATATACACAAATGTCCACTACAGTGAAGACAATGTTCAACTATGAAATCTGTCGGAAGAGCATTTCAATTCACAAATCACTGTTTATCGATTTCACATATCTTACACAAATAAATATACAACACCAGAAATATGTAAACTTGATGATACGTTACACATTATTTACATTTCAATGTAATTTCATATTATTTATGCAGAAACATGAGAATCTCTTGCAAATATAACAACCAATATGTGCTTTTCTAATATGTTTACTTTTAGCAATGAACGGAACATAAACTGTAATAATTTGATTGGAGTTTCACCAGTTCAAGTATTATTAGATAGTGGATACATAACAGACATTTCTCAATCATTTTTCACATCCAACTCCTGCATATAGTGGAGAGTGGAGAATTTTTGTCAGTTAACGTGAACAGTGAATTGTTTAATATTTGAGAATATCATGAATATTCATTCGACTAGCATGTTATGTCTCCTGCTAAAATGAGAATAGTGAGATTGTTTTTGAATGAACCTCAGTTCATTGAACTGTATGAAACTATCCTATTGAATAGTCATTATCTGACATTGATAAATACCAGTGGTGGTGTTTCGTTCTCTGAGGTGGATGTTTTGGTTCTATCTGAAGTTAGTGTTGATGATGTTGTTCAGAAGAACAATGATAGCTCCACAACCAAAACATCCAGTTCAGAGAACGAAACGCCATCACAATCATCTGCCTGAGCTATGAATACCTGTTTCCACATGTCATTGTTAATGTTGCTGATTGTGGTTATCACATCAACATTGAAGTGGAATAAAAATGCTGATTTGTGTAGTGAGGGTAGCACTGATTGAAGTAATTAAAATTCATCAATTTTGATAAACTTATCTCAGCTTTGACTTCAGCTGGGTCTATTGCCGGTTGCAAGCCTGGATAAAGGAGGAGGGTTGGACATGGGGTTGGCGACCCAATCCCACCAAAATAACCAACTTGCCAAAAAAACGCTTATCAAGATAATAAATCGAACCACTTTAACTCTGCCCTGGGCGTTGAAAGAAGAATTATGACGTCTCGTGATGAAAGCCAAGTTTTCTCGGAAGTCTCCGGGCCGATACTTCTTCTGAAAACCAGAGAAACAATTATTTGAGGTACATGGAATTTTCGTACATTGTGGGAAACTGGAAGACTATTTCAAGTTGCGGCAGAAATGAAAAGATACAACCTCGAGGTGCTTGGAATCACCGAAGCGCGTCGGGCACAGGTAGGACAACTGAGACGAGCTTCAAGGGAACTGCTGTTATACTCTGATCATGAAGAGGAAAATGCTTCACATACACAAGGAGTTGCACTGATGCTGTCCAAGCATGCACAAAATGCACTAATAGGATGGGAATCACATGGACCCAGGATCAGTAAAGCATCCTTCAAAACAAAGAAAGAGAACATTACAATGAATGTCATCCAATGTATGTACCTACCAACAACCACAATGACGACGTTAAAGATCAATTCTACGAAAGACTGCACTCAGTCATCGAGAACTGCTCACCAAAGGATTTGACGATTCTAATGTGAGACCTGAATGCCAAGGTTGACATGGTCAACACTGGATACGTAGACACCATGAGACGACAAGGAATGAGAGGTAGGAACGAAAATGGTGAGAGTTTTGCAAACCTATATGCCTTCAAAGAACTTGTCATCGGCGACACAATATTCCCACACAAACACATACACAAAGCCACATGGATTACACCGCATCACAATACCCAGAACCATATCGAACATATCTATATCAATAAAAAGTTCAGAAGGACTATGATGGATGTGAGAACCAAGAGAGGGGCTGACGTAACCTCAGGTTACCACTTGCTGGTCACCAAAATGAAACTGAAACTAAAAAAGCACTGGACAACGGGGCAAACAATATCACAAACTTTCATTACGGCCTTTCTTCGGGATACCGTAAAACTCAACGAATTCAAGATAGCCCTCACCAATAAGTTCCAGGCCTTGCACGATTTACTCAATGGAGAAGAAACAACCATGGAGAACAATTAGAAAGGGATCAAGGAGGCAATCACTTACACTTGTCAGGAGGTTCTGTGTCACAAGAAGCACCATCACAAGGAATGGATGTCTGTTGGAACTCTTGAAAAAACTGAAGGAAGGAGGAACAAGAAGGCAGCAATCAATGTCAGACGAACAAGAGCAGAGAGAGCCAAGGCACAAGCT